CTCCCTCCTCCTTGGCAACCACCAGTCTGTTCTCTATGTCCCCAATTCTGCTTCTGTTTAATAGGTAGGTTCATTTGTATCATTTAAATTCCACATATAAGTGAGATCATATGGTATTTGTCTTTCTCTTTCTGACTTACTTCACTTAATATGATAATCTCCAGTTCCATCCATGTTGCTAAAAATGGCATTATTTCATTCTTTTTATGGCTGAGTAATATTCCATTGTATATATGTACCACATCTTCTTTATCCATTCATCTGTCAATGGACATTTAGGTTGGTTCCATGTCCTGGCTATTGTGAATAGTGCTGTTATGAACATAGGGGTGCATGTATCTTTTTGAATTATGGTTTTGTCCGGATATATACCCAGGAGTGGGATTGCTGGATGATATGGTAATTCTATTTTTAGTTTTCTGAGGAATCTCCATACTGTTTTCCACAGTGGCTGCACCAGCTGACATTCCCACCAACAGTGTAGGAGGGGGAACAAGTTTCTAAGTGGAAAGTGACATTTGAAAAATAAATCTGGAGTCAGAATACAGGACAAATTTCAGGAATGGAGAGATTAGAGACAGAAAAATAATTAAGAAATTTTACCACGTTATGCCTGAATTATTGTTAATAAAGGCATAAACTAGGTGAATAGAAACAGTAAGAGGGATGTGTGGAATTTGTGAGACAGTAAAATAGGACTTACGTGTTAAGTTGGGACTAGATGAACTTTATTGATCCTCTCCTAAAAGATAATTACTTCTAGTATACACCTCAATCATTTGGCTTAAAAACCTCACAATTTTCCTTGTCCCTCACTCCCCTAAGAGTGCTCTTTCTCAGACATTTGCTGCCCCCCACCTACCATCCCCCAAACTGGCTTCTCCAACCACATAATATATTCCAGCCAAAACAAAGGACTATATTTACTAGTTCCCTAGACAAACCAGGAAATTCCCAAACCAATGACTTTGTTCATGCTATGTCGTCTTTAATGTCCTCTCTCTGTTCTTTGTACCCAAAGTCTAGACATTCTGCACACCCCAGGTCAATGCCACTTTTCCCACCAAGCTCTCTCAGAGGCCCCAACTCAAAGTAAGTGTTGTCTCCCAATACTCTCCATTTTTCTCTGAAACACTTTTTTCAAAAAACCTTGCAATTGTTCCTTATCTCTTCTGGTAAACTATATACTCCCCATGGTAAACATAGCCAATTTATTTCTGTATTCCTTCCTTCTCTTTTCATAGGTACTTGAAGATCTTGATAAATAATATATGGCAACAGCACAGTATAATGGCTAAAAGCACAGACTCTGAAAACAGACTGTTTGAATCTGAATCTTAATACTGCCATTTATTAGCTACGTGACCATGGGCAAGTTACTTAATCTGTGTATGCTACAATATCTTTATGTATAAAATGGAGATAATAAGAGTAGATATTTCATAAAGTTGTCAGAGGACTTGGCTTAGAACAGTATAAGCATCATAAAAGTATCTATTAAATACAGTGGAAAAATACTGAATATTCTGTGATACATGAGTAAAGCTTTATTTATCTATGGAAAGCAAAATGAAGCCAGTCTCTAGGTACTTAATAGGTATATACAAATTCTTCCTAAATCTTCTTATGTATTCCCTAAGGTTTAGCTGTGTCCTTTAAAGTCTTCCTTATGTTAACAATGGTTCTGTTGTAGTTTGACATTTCAATTTCTGAGAAAATATTTAGTTCAGTTTCCTGTGACAATAAGACACCTAATTGATCTTCTTGCCTCCAGTCTTACCCCCTTTAATCCATCCTCCCATGGCTCAAAGAGTATCTTTCTAAAATGTAGACCTAATGTTTTCCCACTGCTACAAACCCCCTCCATTCCATCCCCGTTAGGATAAAGTTTAAGATTCTTAGAGTCTCATACAAATTCCTCCAAATATGGACCCTGCCTAGTCTCCAGTTTCATCTCTCAACACTTTCTACCATAAAACCTAATCACCCGGCCACATCTCAAAAGCTTTTTGTATGTCATTCCTTTTGCTAGAACATCTCTCCATTAGTTTGCTAGGACCACCATAACAAAATACCACAGACTGGGTAGCTTAAACAACAGAAGTTTATTTTCTCACAGTTCTGGAGGCTAGAAGTCTAAGATCAACATGTCAGCAACAGTGGTTTCTCGTGAGGCTTGCAGATGGCTGCCTTCTCAATGTGTCCTCACGTGGTTTTTTTTTTCCTATATGCACATGTCCCTGGTGTCTTTTTGTGTCCAAAGTTCCTCTTCTTATAAGGTTACCAGTCAGAATGAATTATAACACACCTTAAAAGTCTCATTTTAACTAAATTACCTCTTTAAAGGCCCCATCTCCAAATACAGTCACATTCTGAGGTTATGGGGGCGAGGACTTCAACTTACAAATTTTGGAGAAACACAATTCAGCCCACAACAACCCCTTCTCCTTTTCTTTACCCAGGCTAATTCCTATTTGTTTTTCCAAGACTGGCCCAAGCCTTCCCATCCAGGCAGATTTCACTGTCCTGTCTCTGTGTTCCCATAGTACTTCTGCATGCTGCTCTCTGTATGCTGCTATCCCATTAACACACTATCCCAGTTGTCTCTTTCCTTCTTCAGACTGTATTCCTTAAGAGCAGAGACTAAATCTCTAGCACTTAGCACAGTGTCTGTTCCATTGAAGGTATTTACTAAGGATTTGATTATTCAGGGAAAGTAGAAGAACATGGACTTTGAAGAAAGGCAAGCGTGAGTTCAAATCCTGGCTATACCATTTACTTATCTTGTGGCTTTCGACAAGTCACTAAATGCTGACCTTCCATTCTACATAAGGCAGTTATAAAGATAAATGACTTAATTATAATAAAAGCATCCAGTTGTAGGGTTGGTACACAGTAGGTGCTCAATAAATGTTAGAGTACAGATTCTGGGATTGCCTGGGTTTGACACCCAATTCCACCACTTGGTAGCTGAATGACCTTGGGTATGTTAACTTATCCTCTGCTTCAGTTGCTTATCTATTAAGAACATCTCACACTGCTACTGTGAGGATAAGTTAATATAGGTAAAATATTTAGACAGGTATCTAACACTTCTAAGTACTATACAAATGTTTCCTATTATATGATCACTGCAGATCTGAACTAATATGACTGGAAATCATGAATAATTTAGTTCATTCAATTATGAAGTTATTTTAAATGTGAATATTACTTTAATGCCTCAGATTTCTTACCACTAAACAGGACAGTAACTAAAGAGGTTCAAAAACTGGTACGGATGATATAAACAAAGATCAAAATAAACATGAAATAATATCATCGGCCTCATTCCTTATATTAGTGTTTAAACATACTTTGGGTATTGAAGTAAAAAATCTTAAGAAACAAGTTTTTCTAGTCTTTGCGACTACAGATGTTAACCATTTTCAGTAGAGAATAACACTCCTTGGCTCATATTTTCAATTTCAGAACCACTAAACCTTTGAACTGGAAAGACCTTTGAGATGAAAGGCCAGTCCTATCATGGCTTACATTAAGTAAACAGGTGGATTTGTAGCGGGCTTTCAGGGTCTTAATGAGCAGCTCTATGGAGGACGGGAATTACAAGCAGAGAGAATAACTGGTTCAAAAGTACTAAAGCAGGGTTCATAACTTATTCTAAATGTCCAAGGTATGTAGTAGGAACCAGTATTAGGAAATAACGCTGGAAAATGCCTTTGAATCATCCAACCTTTAAGGTCAGTAATTTCTGAAGTAGGTACCTGACCTGTAACTTTGAAGTAAGGCAGATCTAGGTATGAATCTCCACTTGTTACATAAGCAAAGCTGAGCCTCAGATTATGCAACAGGGTTATTATAGTGATTAAGTGATCAAATGTACATACAGCTCATAACTGAGATGCCTGGCTGATTGAAAGTACTCAAGTTTTTGTCTTTCTGACCCCCCTCACCATACGAATAAAAATCTGCAAAATAATAAAACACTGTCTTTCATACAGTATGCGTTTGCTGAATGTCTGAGCCTTGTTGAACATTACTTAATTTTAAAAACTGAAAGCTGGAATAACTGCTGAAATGATCAAGTGTCTTCATCCCTGCCCTTTCTCCCCACCAAATGTCCTTCACAATTTCTTCGCAAGTGTCACTGCACCACCATTAACATGCTATTAACATGCTGTAGCTTCCAATTCTACAGCACAGATTTGAAGGTCAGGAAAAAATAATCATTGAAATAGATAAAACAAACTAAACTAAACAAAACTGGAAGAGTCCATTTCACTTTATTCCTATGGTCCATTCTAGCTTGATGAATTTCCAGTGAAAAGTTAGTTTCTGACGCAGAAACTGCAGGTTTAAATAAAAGGTTCGTGGGCAAGTAACTGAATTCACCGCTATTATAATGACCCAGAAATCTTTTAAGTGTTTAGGAGACTATCTTTACTCTGGTTCTAAAAGGACATCTGCCAATATCCATTATTTACGCTTGAAACTAAAGGCAACCGTCTTTCTTTTAAAAGACGTGCGGTGTCTGGCTCAAAATCAATCGCAAGAAAAGCCCAACTCAACACTGAAAGAGCTCTTTCCAATACTCTCTCGTCTCGCTCACATCACAGATGGCGACCAAGGCTTAAGGTTTAACGTCCAGACACTAAAGCCGCTTATCGCTCAAGGATGGGGCACCAGGTGGGTGCTGTCCGGCAGAGGATGGGATGCTGCCAATCCTGAGAGGTGCAGCTGGGGTGCACCCCGAGGCCGGAGCCCAACGCCCAACACTTCGCACTTACGCTTGGGAAACCACCCGCTTCCCACCGCGGCGGGGCGGGGTGGGGGTGGGGGGACGGACCCGGCGAGGACCCAGTCCTCCGGTACCCAGCTCAGGCTTCGGTGTCCGCGCGTGACCTCCGAAGACCGGGAGGAGCGCGGGGTGGGGAGGTTCCTTTGCCTTCAAGGGAGGATGGCAAGGGCAAGTTCGAGTCGTGCGCGGGAAGATTACTCACAGGAATGGTCCGGCGTCCTCCGTCCTTCGCACGCGCTTGCTCAGGGAGAAGCCTCTAAAACGGCAGCAGCCTGAGAAGAGCAGCAGAAGCGGCCGCCGCTGCCAGTAACCGCCCGGGCGTGGCAGGAACGGACTGGCGATTTCACAACATCATCATTCGGCGACTTCGGTTTTGCAGCTACTCCAGGTCAATGACAGCCCCCACACATTTGGGGAAGAGAGGAGGAAACCCATTCTCCCAGCAGCCTGCACGGCACCAGCGCACGACCTGCTGGGGATTGTAGTTTCCTCTAGACCACGCCCCTATCTCTAAAGGCCACGCCCCTCGCTGCTAGCCCGGGGGCGGGGCGGGGCGGGGCGGGGCGGGGCGGGCGGGGGCGGGGCCGCGACCCTGGGGCCAGGGTGGGGCGAGCCCAGTGCCGGAGGGCTGCTGGGGGTTGGGGCAGAATTCCAGGCCCACAGTGCCAGACGGGTCGCGCCGCCCTCCTGGCTCCGCGGCTTGTGCCGCGAGCGGGCCTTACGCGCTCGCTTTGCCGCTGGGCGGGCCTGGCGCCCGGGCCCCGCACCGCTGGCCGCCTGAGGAGAGCCGCTGCCCGCAGTCGCCGCCAGGGTAATGAGGGGAGGCCGGGCTGGGGAGGGGAAGGGCTACGGGCTGGTCGCGAAGTGAGGGAGCGCGGCTCCGCCAGCGCGCGCCTACGGAAGCTTGAGGCTAGAACTCGCCGCCCCGCTTCCAGCCTGAGCCCGGGAGGCCGACGGAGCCGTGGCGGGAGTCCGGCTCGGCGTGGCGAGCAGCCCCTGCGTGCTGCGCGGCTCCGGCTCGGCCCGGCGTCCCGGGCCGCGTGGCGGCCGAGGCACCTGCGTGCGGTGTAGGCGGTGCCTGCTGGGGTCGGCGGTGCCAGGTGCGCGGGCCCAGCTGCCCGCGGCGCCACCCCCCCCCCCCCCCCCCGCCGCTGTCACCTTTGGCCGCACTCACAGGCACGCAGAGTCTCCAGACCCAAGGTGCCCTCCGGCCCGGCTCTGTGTGCCTTCTGCGAGTTCGCTGCAAAGTCCCCCAAAGCAGGACTCGGAAGGAAGCTTTTACGTAATTGAGCGCTCAAGCCGCGTTTCGTCCTCGGTATTTAAGTTCAACGTTGTGTTTTTCCCTCGTGGGTTTGTTGTGTCGCGTACCTTTTTCCTCAGAACTCGATTGGAATTGGTGACAGCGCCTATCTAGGATAGAGCCTGGCACACAGTAGGCGCTTAGTAAATATTTTTTGAAAGCCTGAGCCACGATGCTAAGTTTGGAAGTTCTACCGAGTTGTGCGTGGCTATAATTTTTAAGATTTTATGGGTTCCTAAGATAACTTTGAAAATTACAGTAATTTTAAAGCTCCGCAAAGAGTTAAATCTGGCTTTTTTGCATTCCCTGTAACAAGGGCCTCTGTTGGATGCTTAAATTAACTCAAAACCCGAGTTCTGTAATTTAGATGCGCCTTCCGATTGTCGCAGAAAGTGTTAACCTTTCAGATTAAAGCTTTCGGAGGAACCATTCTATTTTAGAACAAATTTAAATTATTTAGAAAGCTTTATTTTAATTCTCTTTTTAGAGATAATTGCGAGGGACCACACTGATGTACTTGTAAATACATTTAGAAATACAAGTCTCAAGTATGAATTTTTGAAAAGGGTTTATGTTCATACCTAGTGAAAGAGCACGCAGGAGAAAATTATGACGGCAGACCTATACCCTGCCCTCCAGCGACCCCCACCCCCATCTCTTAGCGGGGGCAGCTGCTGCCTTGACCTCAAAATGTCTCATAAAAGTATCTCTTAATAGTCTGTTACATCTAAAGCAAAATCCTCTGGGATTAAGCCATGCACGTGGGCAACCCCTTTAGTACTGACAATTCTCACAGATTGTGTCCGCTTCTTATGAGTTTTTCTGAAAAATAGATAATGTAATGGAGTTTAAAGGTTTTTTGTTGTTGTTTAAGAAAGAACTTAACTGATATTACACAGAGCAAGAAACAAATTCCTGAGAACCAGGAAATTCAGTTAATCACGACATCCCCGATCTTTCTGCTTGTAGGAATGTATGCTCCAAGTGGTCAGGGCCTTGTCTGCCTCGATCACTAGTGAGTGTCCCCAGTGCCCAGCACAGTGCCTGACCCATAGCAGCCATTCATTAAACACTTGTGGGATGAATACTTGACCGTTTCAGGTAACAGGGTAATTACTTTCTACATGCTTGTAGTTTCTTCATTTACTTGGATATTTTCTTAGAATAGATTACTAGAAGTGAGAATTTTACAGGGTCAAAGGGATGAACATTTTTATAGTTATCAAAACATTGCCAACTTACTTTCCAAATGAGTCCTACCATTTGGTACCTTTCAGAGCATCTTCTCAAGCTCTTCTTGATACAGTATTTGATAGTTCTGAGCACTTTCAGATAAAGTATTTCATTGATCCGAATCACCCTGGAAAGTGAGCAGGGCAGGTTTTGCATTGCCTCTTTTGTAACACAGCAAACAGCAGTGCCTTAAATTGATGGTAATGAATGGCAGGTGACAAAAATAAACCATTCCGGGTTTTTTTCTTCTTCCCATTCTCTTCCTTTGGTTTGTAGTGAATATCCTGAATAAATTGACATCTTTTCTTAGCAATAAAATTGGATGCTGCTGTATAATATCTATGGTTTACAAAAGCTTTTTCTTTCTGATTTTGTTCAGATGTTTGCAGATGCCTTGATCAAACTTGGGGACTTCATTAATATGAAATAATGAACCACAATTTAGGTGAAAGAGATACTGGGTAGGTGTAAGGGAATATCCAGCACTAGCAAGTTTCGAACATTGCCACCCTTTCTATTAGGAAAGATTTGGAAACTTGGTGGTGCTTTTGTAGCTCCTTCAATCTGAATAAGTTACTATTTTAAACCTCTGCATCTGTTGGAGCCCTCATAAACTATTGAGATTAATACTCCATCAGTGAAAGTGGACAGGAATTATTTGTGTAATAATCTGCATATCTTTCCTATCTGTCAATAAATTCCAAGAAGAATGGAAATGAGAACTAAGAATCATAAAAAATATTCAACCTACGGAAAATATTATTTTCACATGAAAACTGAAAAAAAAATCTTTTTTTAAACATGGCAAGAAGAAAATGTAATTAATTCCTACTCTGTTGCTAATCTTGACTCTTTCCCAGATTTGCCAGTCAGTTACCCTAGATGATTTAATAGGTAATTAATCGGATAAGGAAGCTTTGGAAGATTCAAAGTTTACTTCTAAGTAGAACCATTGGAAATTCTTGGGCATCATTTGTATTAAAAGTGGGTCCAACATTACCTTTCTGTATTGTTTTTACATTTGCTTAGGGTTCTGTAAAAAAGTAGTATAGAAAAGATAAGGAAGAAGAGATGCAGGTTTATTGAGGCTTTGGAAATATTCAGAACCTCCTTTCAACTTCACTCCACCTTTCTGTTGTGATGTCAGATCCCAAATAGTGTTCAGTAAACAGAAATGTTCTTTAAGGACACCTTTCAGGAATGTCTGTAGTCCTTGTGTCAAAGAATGGCTGCCCAAATAGTGGTGGGTTTATGGCAACTAGATCTTTAAGGCATTTGTATGTAAATATAAGTTATTTTGCTTCTGTTTTTATACTAGGATATTTCTGTATCTTGAAGATAAAGCAGAAATCTTCTTTGGAGTAGATGGATTTTTCTCACTTTCTGTGAACTAAAGCGATTCAATGTCTCTTTTGGTAAGTTTTTATAAGCGTGGATCTAATTTTGTGTCAATAGAGTAATTAGATGTTAGTGCAAAGCCCTAATAGGCACACTCTGATGGAATATTCTTAGGCTCTGAGATGTTATTTTGATCTGAAAGACTTCTGGTCTTTAAAAATGAGTTAAATTATCATTGAGTTTTTGTCTCTTTAAAAAAGAGCTTCTCCTATACTTTTCTGATATACTCCTTCTATTCCTTTGTCCCATACCCACTTTTCTCATACATTTACTGTCCTTAGACATTACTCTTCCATCCAGTTAGCTATGCCTTATCCTTTAAATCTTTCCAAAATCCCTTTGACAAATTTCTATCTGACTAAAGGCAAGCAAAATAGTATGAAAAATAAACCCCTTGACTTAACAAGACAGGAAACATTAGGATCATTGTGTAATATGATGTATAGATACTAACGTGGTTTTTGTTTATATTAAGTCCATGGTATCTACTCTAGATTAAGTAGTTTTAGGACTTTCATTGTGTCTTATGTAGAATATAATATGTTACTTGAATATTTGAATTTCTTTTAAAAAGTGGTGGGTGCATTTGTATGATGATTTGTAATTTACAAATACTTTCATGTATTATATCTCTCTCAGTCTTCAAAATTGTAAGCAGGGCAGGTGGTATAATCCTCATTTGGAGTTTGGCCCATGATTGCAAAGAATTAGAGCCAGGGCTCAAACTCACATCTGCCAATCCACTCTATCACTTGCCAAGTCTGAGAGGCAGAACTATGAAGTTAGGAGACTGTATTGTTAGTTATTTGGAAAATATGTAATGCATTTACTTTATGTTTAAAGTAAAGTTTATCTACTTAAAAGGGGAGCTTTATATATCTGGAAAATACATTGAGGTGAAATATCTACCTCATTTTCTAAAGCAGGGCTCAGCAAACTTTTTCTTTAGAGGGCCAGGTAGTATTTGTGTGCTATGTGATCTCTATTAAGTTACTCTTGGAAAAAGCTGCCATAGGCAATATGTAAATAAATGCAAATGAATGTGTCTGTGTTTCCGTAAAATTTTATGCACTAAAACAGGTGGCGGGTCAGATTTGACTCGTGGACCATAGTTTGTTGACCCCTGCTCTAAAGGATTACTTAAGATTAACAACTTTATGTCAGTTTGTAGGTTGGATGAGATGTAAAAGGGCATTTGATAGATGGAGATACTGAGATTCAAAGGGCTGTATGGTTGCCCAGGGCTTCCAAATTTGGGGGAAAGGACATCTTACTTAATCTATTATTTCATAATCATGGATTTTTGGAAAAATAGAATTTGATAGGGTCATTTATATTTGTTCAGTTTGTTAATAATTTTACTTTGTGTTCTTCTTGCAATGAAATATTTAGAATCCTTTGAATCAAAACATTCATGTTTTCTCCTCAGTGAGATATTTGTGTAACTGAGATAAAGTTAATGTTTTTGCTTATGAAGGATTCTTCCTCATTCAAATTTTACCTCTATTTGACAGCTAAGAAGTGGTGTTTTC